AGCCTTGATATTGTGTGTGCAAACTGAATGCCATCTTAGAGCAGGTGCCTACACTTCTATGAGAAGTGATGGACTCAATGCTCATGGCAGTGTTTGACTGTCCAACATAACCACCCTGAAATAGCAGCTAACCGCTGATTAGCCAGAACGCCCAGAGTTGGCACATCACTGCTCACTTTTAGATCTTGATGCTGTTGGGACTTTCTCTCTGAAATGTCCCTCAGTCCTCCTCCAATATTCTGCTTTTGCCTCTGATATCTTTCTCGATATCTTTCTTTAGGTTGGATTGGCACAGGGGAGGCTGTAGCTCAGGTAGCTCAGGTGCTAGAGCAGGTCACCTGCTAATTTGAAGGTTGGTGGTTTGATCCCTGTGTGCTCCAGTCTGCATGCCAAATGTCAGTGGGCAAGATACTAACCTCAAGTTGCTCTCTGATGCATCCGATGGAGTATGAATGTTAGATAGAAAGCACTTATGTAGGAAGAGAATACATAATGTGTAATTATCTATCTGTCTATATTTAATATAATTCCTTCTCTTCTAAACATAAAGGCAGTGTTGCTCTCATAAACTGATAGTTTCTTCTGATAACATCTGCCTCCTTTGTCCATAGTTATTCTGTACAGTTGTGGATGTAAAACAGGGCAGTGGATGTGTAGGCTTCTGTGTCCTACGAGACGAGGCTACAGCCGACCACTAAGTGATGGAGTTGATCAGTGGGGCCAGAAGGAAACAAATGAATCCAGTTGGTTTTTTGAAGAAGCAGAAATGCACATCCCACATACTAGGAGTCTATGGGATGTGCATATCTAGTTCATTTATGTCCCCAATGATGCACAGCTTGGGTTAGGTTGGAATACAGCAGCTAAACTATGAAGTCTTCACATATCCTTTCCAAGAACCTCTGAACAGGCCTATAGGCATGCATACACACTACCAGTGAAAGGTTTGGATACACCTCCTCATTTTCTTTATTGTTACTGCTCTCTACGTTGTAGATACTGAAGACATCAGAACTATGAAGCAAGATAAATGGAATTATATAGCAAGGAAAAGTTGATAAATCACTAAATGTTTCTTCTTTTTTTTTTATGCTTTCCCAATCAAAAGTTTGACCACTTGATGGCGCCTACAATATTTTTCATGGTTGGATCTTAAAAAGGTTTCAAGTAGAGCTTCAACATGCAACAAGAAGAAATGGGAGTGAGACAAAACAACATTTTGAGCAATTTATTGACAACAGCACTGAAACTGAAACAAGCTGTTTTACAGCTGATCAAACGTTTAGGTCCACGTGCCTTTAAAAGGCCAAATCTAAGCAAAAATATGGATTCATTGCCATTTTCTGTCAGGCAGTCACACTGTTGTAATTTCCTCTTTTGAACGAGATCAGGCTGCTGAACTGCATAAGCAGGTGTCTCACAGCACGCCATCGCTGCTGAGGTCAAGTCAAGTGGAAGGTCGAATTCAGAGTATTGATTTGTAAATAATTAAATTTGAAAAAAGGGGGCAGGACCAGGAAAAGTATAAACTTCATCCTACTCTTCAAACACACACATTCTGTAGACATAGAAATATATAT